GTGGGCACCCCCCGGGTACCCGCCAGCCTGGTCCGGGGAAGAGGGGGAGGGCTGGGGGGCATTGGGTGGTTGGATCGAGCCATGCCAGGTGCAGGGTCTGCTAGCTGGGTGCTGGCAGGCTTGCACCTGGCACGGGCATCGTAGCCAGCCTGTGCCCCTTTAAGAGGTCCGGGGCCGGGAGGGGGTCAGACGAGTTTCCCTGGTGTTGGCCAGGGTGGCCACCAGGGAAAGCTGGGGAGGGCTAGCCTCCCACTCGTTTGAATTAAGGGGCTACACACCCCTTAATTCAAACTAGTAAGTTCGAACTAGGCTTAGTCCTCGTAGAATGAGGTTTACCTAGTTCGAACTAAGCGCTCCTCTAGTTCGAATTAAGTTTGAACTAGCGGAACGCTAGTGTAGCGCCTATCAAAGTTAATTGAAACTAACGTCCGTTAGTTTGAATTAACTTTGTAGTGTAGACATACCCTGTGTTAGTTAACTGTGATTTGCTCAGATAATTCACATAGATAGTCTGTTTCCAGTTTCAAGAAGGGTCAAGCACTTGCAGATTATATATTGAAATGTCATAAGTTTCCTTTAAACTCTTGTGCATTTGAAATTCACTTTCCTTGATTCAATAATCCCAAACTCCCTGGAAAGTGAATTAAAATGTGGTAGGTGACCAGCTTGGCTTAGCAGTGAAATCCTTGGTGATTTTAAACACAAAAAGGAAGCTGACAAGAAGTGGACATTTGGACAGGTGACTATATATTGCTCGAGTATGCGGGGTGTAATCAGGAAGGCCAAAGCATGATTGGAATTGCAGCTAGCAAAGAATGTGAAGGGTAACAAGAAAGGTTTTTACAGGCATGTTAGCAATAAGAGGGTGGTCAGGGAAGGTGGGGGGAACCTTACTGGATGAGGGAGGTAAACTCATTGCAGATGATGTGGGAAAAGGTGAAGTACTCAATGCTTTTTTGCCTTTGTCTTCATAGACAAGGTCAGCTGCCGGATGACTGCACTAGACAACACAGAATTCGAAGGAAGCGGGCAGCCTTCGGTGGAGAAAGAACAGGTTAAAAACTATTTAGAAAAGTTTGACATATGCAATTCCATGAGACAGGATCTAATACATCTAAGGGTACTGAGGGAGTTGGCTGATGTGACTGCAGAACCATTGGCTATTATTTTTGAAAACTCATGGAAAAAGGCAAATGCAGTAGCCATCTTTTAAAAAAAGGAAGAAGGAGAATCCAGGGAACTTCTGACCTCAGTCAATCTTACCTCAGTCCCCCAAAAAATCATGGAGGGGATCCTTGTGAAATCAATATTGAAGCACTTGGCAGAGAGGAAAGTGATCAGGAATATTCAACATGGATTCACAAAGGGCAAGTTGTGCCTGACCAGCCTGATTGCCTTCTATGATGAGGTAGCTGGCTCTGTGGACATGGGGAAGGCGGTAGACATGACATACCTTGACCTTAGCAAAGTTTTTTATATAGTCTCCCAAAGTATTCTTCCTAGCAAGTTAAGGAAGTATGGATTAGCTAAATGGACTAGAAGGTGGGTAGAAAGATGGCTAGATTGTCGGGATCAATGGGTAGGAATCAATGGCTCAATGTCAGGCATCAGTGAGTCAGTACTGGGACCTGTTTTGTTCAACATCTTTATTAATGACCTGGATGAGGGGATGGGCCAGACTCGCCCGTGAACCCCCGCCAGGGCTGTGCGTGGGACAGGCAGCACCCTAGGATCTGTGTGCACCCAGGCCAGCCCCACTCCCTGCCAGCCGGTTCCCCCCTGGCCATCCCCACTCCTCTCA